TTTAATATTTTAACATAAATATTAGATTTATTTTTAACAATCCAAAGTATACGATACATAGATGTTTCTATTATTTTACTTACAATTTAGCGATAAATCATAACATACTATAATTGGTTTAATAAAAAATTTATATGACCCTTATATTAATAACGAGATAATTTTTAAACAATATTTTTTAAACAATTCTTATAATTTCGACTTAGTTTTTCAAATTTTTGGTTCATCATGAGAACAGAATTGGAGGTACAAAAAAGCAAAAGGTTTCTAAATATGTACGTCCCGACACGAAGGTCCTGCGCATTTTGTTAAATTTTGTAAAGCTAAACTGTATAAAGCGCGTTCTATAGGTAACCACTCATAACCCATATTTGTCATTTGGAAAGGATCATCATCTACATCATATCCTTCAACAAAATTCTATAAAAACAAAATTTCATAATTAAAATCATCATATGAAAAATATATTTTTTAAGACTAACCTCATTATCACGAAATTCACAATACAATCTATTTGTATTGTAACTAAAATGACGTATGCACGCATATGTATTATTCCAAGCATCTTGACAATGGCAAGCTCCTTCTATGGTACACTCTGTCAACCGATCTTTCTTACTCCAAGGACATTCTGCATTATATGTGTCAACATTGCCCTCACCCCAGTGTTGTACTAACAAACTTCGCGTGTATTGTTTATCAAGTAAAGCATCATACCCAACAGCATTTACCAGCAATGCATGCAACGATTCGCCATCACCATTTGTTTGGTCTGATAGTTGTGCCCATTCAAGTATAGTTGGCACTAAATCCACCAATACTGCGGGCGCATTTATTTCTACACCCTTTGGTATGGTGGGACCACTCATTAACAGTGGTATGCGTATATCAGTGTCATATGGTTGCCGTTTATCGAAAGGTTGTGCAAATTGTCCGATATGATAGCCATTATCAGATGTGAAGATAATATAAGTGTTATCTAATTTCTTTTGATCAGCTAAAAGTTTCCAAACTGTAGCTACTAGTTCATCAACAGCCAATAAGGTTTCCCAACGTTGTTGAAAGTACGTGTCCATTAATTTGAGCGTTTTTGTTGGTATAAGTTTAGAACTGCCCACCAACCAGTGTTTTTCTAAAGTTCATATAAAATAGTGTTTATTAAAATTCATATATGCTATGTAAAGAGGAACTATATACCAAGTGATTCAGAGATGTGATTGAAATTTGGTGTACGTGGCGCTTCAATATTAGCAAAACTATTACGATGACGTTCTGCAGGTATAAAAGGCGCGTGTGGTGCAGGTGTGGCGACCATTGCAAAAAATGGTGCACTAACAAGTTCTGGTTTTCCCAAAAACTCCAAGGTTTTACTGCTGAGCAAATCAGTTAAATAAGTGTCCGTGTAACTAACGTTTTGTGCATTTTCACGTAAAGTGTAATTATAATATTTTGAATTGCCATGTAATCCGTGGAAGTCATTCCAACCGGGAGGTACTTTTTCCCCACGATACTCATTGAGATATTTGCCGGCGAAGAATGTGTGATAACCCGCAGTTTGTAATAAAACTGGCAAAGCATGCGGCTCGATATTTTTGAGCCAGTAGTTACCATTGCAACCACCACTTAAAGAATTATTTGTTGTGCGATGATTGTGCGCATATTTTCCTGATAGTAGACTAGCACGTGATGGACAGCATAACGGCGAACTAGTAAACTAAATAAACAAAATATTATAAATGCATTTAATATAAACGCTAAGTGTGCTTACTGCATTGTTGAATGTTGCACCTTCTTTGCCCAATAGTGCTTGTACTTGCTTCATAGGCATCATTCCACCCAGTGCTACATCCTGATCATCTGTTAATACCAATAGTATGTTCGGCTTTTCTGCGGGCGTAAGTGCCGCACAAATTGGTAAGAAAATTAACAGGAGGCAGTGGAAACTAATATCACAATTCGACATTTTATTTTGAGAATGCCTGAGGCTATTTGAGACATATAAAAATTTCTTTTTGTTTTTTGTTTATTCTTAAATTTATTTGTAACTAAAATTTTAATTGAAATCTCATTGCGAAGCTCATTTTGTTTAATGCAAAAAGTGATTAATCAGTAAACAAAAGCCAAACAGAGAGCCAACAAAATTGCTTCAGTGAAGGTCGCAGTTGAGTTTTAATGGCAAAGAGAATTTGCTAGAGCTGCCAACACTCGAAACTATATTTTAATTAAAATGGAAATGGCATGCAAAATTTAACTAACAAAGAATTTAACTTATAACATTAAATAAAATTTTATTTAAACAGGCTTAAGATAAGTTAGTTATTAATTAATAACACTAATTTAACGTTAAAATCATTTTCATAAAAATAAAAAATTTTTCCATATATATATTTCGTTCTACTTCGTAGACCACCTTAACTGTACATATAATTAAATATTAAAAGTAATAGCTTTTGTTAAAATGAATTAAAAACTACTAATCAAAGAACTGGAAATACTAATTTTATTTACTATAAAATAAAATAAAATAAGTTTCAAATATTAAAAATTCTCATCGCAACTCGAGAGTATTCTTATTCCCACCTCTCGAGCAAATTTAAGTGGTTCATGTGGGTTCAAATCTCCTGCTGTGGCTTTCCACCTACAGGCAAAAAAAAAGAAAAGTTTAAAAATCTCTATTAATAAATAATCATAAGAACTGCTACGATAATTCGGTAATAGGTAAAGTCATGATATGCCAAAAGTACCAGCAACCCTTTTAATTCTTTCTCGTTAAAGTTAAAAAATTTACGTGATTCTAAAGTTGATATCAACAGCACAAAATTATCAACAAATGATATCAACAAATTATTGAGTTATACGAAATTGGTGGTGTAATGGACTAAGCTGCGAAAAAAGAACATTGATTAAAAAAAAATATAATTTTCTCTACTATAAACTGCAAAATTAAGTAACTAAAGAAATTCATTAGATACCCTTTTGCATTGCATATAATAAAGGCCGTGAAAGTGCTTTACCTATAAGACCAATAGTAGATCCTTAGGTGAATATATCACTATAACAGCAATATTCAATTAAACAATAAATTAGAAGAATTCGAAAAAAAGATAGGGAAAAACCTTATTTGTGGTCATAAGAAGCGTAGCTTTCGGTAAAAATAATTAACCTTAAACCAATATAATTCATAACATTATTAAAGTATATTATTGGATTTGCGGCACGAAACAACTATTAATAAATCCTTTCAAAAAAAAATCAATTTAACTATCAGATATCAAACAAATGAATTTGAATATCTAGCTTCCATATAGTCCATTCGGTTTACTGAAAACGCATTTCAATAGCTTTAAATTTCGAAGATAGCTTTTGATACAAAGATCTCAATTAAATATGTTCCCCATAAGCAGATAGCTACATGACCTGTAATAGAGAGGAGATTGGTCTCTGCTTCCTATTACAGTCTATGTAATAGTGAAGATGTAATCAAAAATGCTGAGTTGAAAAGCATAAGCTTTAAGC